GCACCGACTATGCTGTAAGTACAAGCTCGCTCCAGACACAACGAATCGGACGCCTGACACGCACCTCCGGACGAACCCCGCCGGCAGCGGCAAACAGTGCCGGCATCGGCACCAGTCCCGGCCATCTACTTCATCGTCGACAAACCGGAGCACCGGCACCACGGAGTCGAGTCAGACAGTGACGCGTGCAGTCGCAGCACCGTACAGCAGGCGGCTGTTGCCAAGGACATCGACCCGGAGGCTCACAAACCGACACGACGACCCAAGGCCGGAGCAGGTGGCGAGCCCTCAGCGCCGCGACCAACCCGCTCTTCAACAGACAGGGACGTGATCGTCCACCAGCGGCCGTGGCACCGCACACGGCTGCAGCGGCCGGTGAGCACCGGACACGGGATCAGTACGCCAGCAGCGGCGGGCGATGGGACTTGAGGGCGCGGCTAGAAGACTTTGCGGCGACGCAGGCGGAGAAGGTGCGCGAGAAGATGCAGCCGACGCCCGAGACGGACAGTCTGCCGGTGACGGTCATTCCGGCACCGCCGCGGCAAGGAGCGGCACTGGCACGTCTCCTCGAGGAAGAAGGAATAGACGACCGCCGGTCGCCGCTGGAGCGAAGCACGAGCGGCGGATCGGGCTTTTCGTCGTTCCCTGGCATTGGGGCAGGGGCTCTGCCGCACGCCCTGGACAGGACGACGAGCGACGTGTCACGCCAGGCGCCACGAGGAATGAGCGCCTCGGTCGACACGGCGTCGGTGAACGCGAACCCGAGCCGGCCGCCGCTGTGGCCGGGCGTGCGAACACAGCCGAGCTACGAGCGGGCGGCGACGACTACGACGACGACGTACGAGTACGAAGACGCATCGGACGTTCAGACACCAACGGAGCACAGCAGGCGGGAGACGGAGGGCTCGCGAGGGCCACCTGCTCCGTGAAGCCGCCGCCGCGGCGTGACCACGGTTCTGCGTGTCTGGGTGGGCTGGGTGTACCATTATTACTATTCAAGCGCGGCGCTTGGGTTTCATTGGAATTGATTGGGCTGGGTGGGCTATCTACCACGGCTACGGCCTGGACGGAACAAGGAAAGGGTGGAGACATTTAGCGAACAAAAAGATCCAACCCGGGATCATTTGGCGTTTTACCTGGCGTTGGGTTGATAGGGAGAAGTTTATAGTCGTGTGTAGCGTGTAGCGTGCAGCAAGCAGCAAGCAGCAAGCAGCAAGCAAGCATCCAGCATGGCGGATGACCCGGGCAGCCATGTCGCATGGCCAGCCCCTGGCTGTCGAATACTATATACATGTCATGTCATTCCTGTCTTGTCAGAGGCTTCTTGGGATCCAGGTCTACCACACTGCAGCGAGCGAGCGAGCGAGTGACATGTGAATGCTGGCCGCTGGCTGGCGAGCCGGGCATGCAGGCAGGCATACCATGCGAATGCACAGGAGAAGCCAGCGGGCCAGCGAACGGCGCTTGGCGCGGTCGGCGATGTGGTGTGGAGGATTGGGGATCATCTCGGCAGAGGTGTCGGTCCTCCCTCCGTGGCTTACGTGAGGCGACCAGGAGTGCGTGCTCTGCATGTGGGTGCCCGCCCACTCGGCGAGCGCACGCCAGAAGCAGGAGAGGGTTTTCCTGCAAGTCCAGCCGACGATGCCGGTGATGGGGGAAGGGGCGTCGACCTGGCTGTGCTCCCCGCGCGGCGGCCTGGGCACGGGGTCGTCGGTCCAAATCATGTTCAGTGACGTGGTGATCTGGCGTTTCTGGTTTGTTTCTGGGGAGGGGAGGCCATCCTCCCATCCATCGGTTCCGCGGGTGTCCGGGTACCGGGGACGTTGTGATCCCGCGGACGCCCGGCCGGCGATGGACAAGGCGATAGGGTTATAAAAAAAAAAGATGACTTGGGTATGAGACATTGGCGGGGACCGGGGGGAAGGGGGGCTTTTGGTTTTTTGTTTGCTCCTGGGGCAATGGGGGTGCCCTCTGGTTCTAGGCGATGGAGCTGTGAGATTCGTCTTTTGGGATCGACTACAGGGCTTTCAGGGGATCTGAAGGGGCCGTAGTGAATCTTCAGTAGGGGACCTCAGGGTACCAGGGCAGGTACCTACATGTAGGTGGTTAGGGATACTAAAGGGACCCGCTACAGAACCCACCCTCATCTTCAGTCTTTTCCGTCGTCTCAGGGGGGGGGGGTCAGAAGGAGAAAAGGAGGGTTTACAGCGCCAAGGATTTCCATGTGGGGTCTAGAGTACAAGGACGAAATTGCGACTGAGCGTTGATGCCAATGGGGGGCCAAGTGCGCCATGGGTTTGGGCTCGTGACATCCGCCTAGGAGAGAGTGGTACATGGTAGTGAGGTTGGTAAGGAACGTCTAGGTACCTACCTACCTGTATGAGAAAGCCTCCTGCTTTTTTCCATCCCCCCCCTCTCGTCTCTTTTTGATTAAAGACCATCCATCATCTCCTGCCACCAGCGCCGTTCCTTTCGCTCTGTTCTTGCTGCGTCCTACCTCTCCAGCTCGACAAGAGGAAATCCTCAATCGCGCGACCCTTCCCTCACCCAGAAAAATAAGAACAAAAAAACCTCCGGGCCATCGACCAGTCCAGAGTCCATCGATCAAGACAGCCGCGACTGGCATCACTCGTCTCGACGACGCCATTGAACACACCTACCAATCTACCAAACCATCTACAAGCACACGAACACGGGGCCTTCAGCCCACGCGAGACGAGACGCACAACGAGACACACACGGCATTGCGCATGCACCAACGGCGGCACGCCTGACTCGACGCCTTCCAATTTCGTCGCAACCACCGCATACAGAGCGAGCCAGCCAGCCAGCCCTTTGCTCTACTGCTCTTTGTGCCACCCCCCCTAAATCTCTTCTCCGGCATTCTGTGGAAACACTGCCAAACCGCTCCGTCCTCAAACAGTGGCTGTTTTGCTGGTCTCGCTGCGACGTCCTCTCCAAACCCCCCCCTCCCCCCCCAAAACCTCGAAAACCCTACTCCCCCGAACCTGTGAGCTGCTCTGCTCCTCGACGTCACCATGGAGGGCTCCGTCGAACCATTTCCCCTCCTCAACACCTCGGCCGACCCCGTTGTCGACACGACCGCCGCTCGCCGCCGCCGAAAGTCCAGCGCTCTCGGTCAAGACATTCGCGCCGGTGACACGGGCGCTCCTGCCCTCGCCTCGTCCCGCCAGAGCCTCTCTGCTGTCGACCGCCCGAGCCCCAGCCCCAGCATCAGCTCTGCTTCGTCCGCCAACAACACCGCCATGACCTCCTCCTCACCCGCCGAGCCCTCGGCCCAGACGGCCGCCCGCCGCATCTCCAAGCGCCGCCGCGCCCGGGGCCTCCTCGCCCGCGCCCGTCAGGCCATGATCAAGCGCACCTACCTGCTGCCCGCCGTCATCCTGACCATCTTTGGCTTTCTCTACGCCCTCAACCCTACCGAGTCCAACCCCGTCCACCGCTTCATCTTCCTCTCCTACCGCCTCGACCACGGCTCCGGCCACCCGCTGGCCCCGACCGACCCCGACACCCCCGTCCAGTACGGCAAGGGCCCCCGCGACATTGCCTTTGTCGCCTTTTACACCGTCGTCCTGTCCTTCACGCGCGAGTACATCATGCAGGAGCTCATCCGACCCCTCGCCCGTCGCGCCGGCCTCCGCTCCCGCGCCAAGCAGGCCCGCTTCATGGAGCAGATGTACACGGCCATCTACTTCTTTTTCCTCGGGCCCGCCGGCATGTACGTCATGAGCAGCACCCCCGTCTGGTACTACAACACGGCCGGCATGTACGAGAACTTCCCCCACCGCACCCACGCCGCCGGCTTCAAGTTCTACTACCTCTTCCAGGCTGCCTACTGGGCCCAGCAGGCCATTGTCCTGCTGCTCGGCATGGAGAAGCCCCGCAAGGACTTCAAGGAGCTCGTCGGCCACCACATTGTGTCCCTCGCCCTCATCGCCCTCAGCTACCGTTTCCACTTCACCTACATTGGTCTCGCCGTCTACATCACCCACGACATCAGCGATCTCTTCCTCGCCACCTCCAAGCTCCTCAACTACATCGACCACCCCCTGACCGGCCCATACTTTGCCGTCTTCATGTTCGTCTGGATCTACCTGCGCCACTACATCAACCTGCGCATCATCTGGTCTCTCCTCACCGAGTTTCAGACCATCGGTCCCTTTGAGCTCAACTGGGCCACCGAGCAGTACAAGTGCCGTATCTCCCAGGTCATCACCCTCGGCCTGCTCTCCTTCCTCCAGGGCCTCAATCTCTTCTGGCTCTTCTTCATCGTTCGCATTGCCTACCGCTTCCTGCGCGACAGCAAGGCCACCGACGACCGCAGCGAGGACGAGGACGATGAGCTCGAGGAGCTTGACGAGGATGAGAAGAAGAAGCTCGTCGAAGATGACAAGAAGGCCAGGGCCGTGAACAAGGTCAGCGAGAAGACCGCCGCCAACGGCGCTTCGAGGTAAATTATGCCTCCCATCGCGAACCTACCAACTCGTGCGACTTACTGTCTACCGACGCACGACATGTGAGAAGGGTGGATGAACCAAGCGTCAGTGGAGGATGGGGGACGGGGGACCCTCCTCATCCTCCTCCGCTTGCTTTGCATACAACAGGAGTCGGAGCATCAACCAACCGGTACGGGATTGTCAGGAGATGAACCCATCGTATTATGTTATTTTCTCTTTTTTTTTCTTTTCTCGACGGGTTTCCACCCTTTCTCGACGAGAGGCGCACTGCTGTAACCTTCCGAGATGGGGGTTCGGAGAAGGTGAGCTACAGCCATAATGAGGCGTTCGGTTCGGGCTTGAAGGGAGGGAAGAAAGACGGAAAAAAGAGGTGGGGAGGAAAACAGTTGCATCACACTCGCTTTGAAAAGGAGGTCAAGGCTAGAAAGGATAGGAGGAGAGATCCAGCCAGGAGGGCCCCGGGATCTCGGTACATACCATGCAGGTACCGTTTACGACGTCATTCGCTACGAAAAGGAACTCGGCGACCACTTGGCCCAGCAGCCAAGCGGGCTAGTAGGTTATTCTTCGCTTCTCAAACCAGGTCATTCCTTGGCTGGACCGTCGCGGCACACAATCACGAAGCTTACATTGGCAATGTCGCCTGCGCCTGTGCCCACGCCTACCATCGGCTGGCTCGGTCCCGTGCACGCACGCGACCACAAACACACACACACACACACACGCCACCCAGCCTCGACTCATCTCATCCGATCTCACATACACTGAGACAGGGACAGAAATAGAGGTCGTCATCGCCCATCCAGACCAGAAAGTCAAGATACACAGCAAGCAACACGTCAGATCGGCCGCGCCACCGCACAACCCGCCTTACCCCGAGTAGGTGGAGCCACCCCCTCGGCCATGGTCACACGGCCGTCTACAATGGCGGGGGGGGGGGATGGAATGTGAGACTACCCTAACCAACGACGAGTTGGCGACCGCGTGCACCACCATTACCATCCCAGCAACACGCATCCCATGATGCGCATGAACGCATCCACTCTGCTCTGCTGCAAAGGCATGTCTCGCGTCAGCTTTGGTCAATCAGCGCCCCTCGTTCGGACGCCTGGGGGGGGGGGGTTACAGCCCGGCACAAGTCTGCATGACGAGACAGTGAGATATGGCACGCGATTGATTCTTGATGGGGTTGCTGGGGAGGTGTGTGTGTGTGTGCATGTTTGCTAGCGTTGGATCGGCGCGCTGGGATCGGAGGATCAGCCGGAGGGAGGGAGGATGGGATATCCGCCGCGTGCGCCACGACGACGACGACGACGACGACAGCAGCAACAGCCGAGTATGTCCTGGACTGCCACTGAGCCGAGCTGCTTGATGAGAACGGAAGAGATGATGGCCCTTGTACACCATGTTTTGATTACCACGTACATTTCACTATACCTTGTAATAATGAGCCACCAACCATCAATCAAGTCCTCCAGCGTGGAATGGTCTCGCGCGAGATTCCTACACTGCACATCTCACCCCATCGTCACACGTAGCAGTAGCATGCATTTCATCATCCTCGATGGCCTCGTCGTCCGAATCGTCCACCCAAGCCTTGGGAACGACCTGGCGCTGCAGCAACTGATCACTTGTTTTGAAGTAAACGCGGGACACAGCGACATGGCGGGGGGGAAAGACAGCCATCTCATCTTTTTTTGTTCGCAACGCTCGCATTGGCCCGGCACTCTCTGCCAAGGCACCCTCTATGAGCAAAGACTAGAAAAAAAAATGGAAAGTGCGAGAACCAATGTGTACGTACGTGGTAGCCGTGAAGCCAGCTCATTTGTGTAGCCTTTTTCCCGCCTCCTCCTTCCCCCCACCACCTGCCTTCCCCAGACCGTCCACCGAGGCCAGACAAAGAGACAAGAACAGACAAGAAAATAGACAGGCAGAAAAGGCAGGCGTCGCCAGCCCACCTGACAGCCCAGGGGCTCTCCTAATAAAGAGCCCTCATACCTTTGCTTTGTGTTGCGAGATAACGCTCTTCCTCTCGAAGATTAAACAAGATTGGGACTAAGCAAAGTAGCAGACAAGACCGGGTAACGTCGCGGTCCTGATGAGCAACGGGGAGTCAAGACCACGCAAACCTATAAATCCGATGCAAGGTCCAAGGGGGGGGGGGGCCTCCCGCCATGGTAGCGGTCGGCATACATGCCTCCCCCCCTTTGAACGTCATGACGCCACATGATTAGACGAGACATGAAGTGAAGCCCTCTCGAGAAAAAAAAGGGGAAAAAAAACGGAACAGAGCCACCACCTGTCGTGAAAGCTTGCGATTAAATAGCAGCGTTGCTGATGAAACTCCAAACGCCAAGTTGCCAATAATGAGGCATGCAGTCTTCCTGATCCGTGAATCCGTAGCAGGTCGTGATTCTTCAACATTCGTAACAATAAAAGCCAGAAACCCGGTGGGGTAGCGAGAAAGAAAGAAATGAAGGCTGCCCCTGCAACAGGACGCATGCTGATGGCAACGCAGCAACGATATGTAATCACGCTCGGTGAAAGTCAACAGATGTCTCAGGGACAGGAAGACGGCGTCGACTACCGCTCCGTTTCATCGTGATAGTTGTGTGTAGAATCAGCGTCGGAACTTGTGGATGAGCTCGACGTGTCCCCACGTGGTGCAGTGGCTTTGGAGTTCTGGTCGGTTGCTCCAGGGAGGATTGTCGAAGACGAGAGGCTGTTGTACCCGTCCGACGTTCCATCTGTACGGCCCTTGCTGACAATGTTGGCTTTACGCATGAGTTTGTGGGCCTTGCGGCTGGCAGCACGCGCCTTCTCGGCGGCACGCTCAGCCTGAACTTGCTTCTCCCACATGGAGGCATAGCGGCCCTTGGCATTGACAAGCTGCTCATGTGTGCCCTTTTCAACAATCTTCCCGTTGTTGAGAACAATAATCTGGTCTGCATGCGTGATGGTAGATAGGCGATGGCTGTCTCTTGTTAGCAAGCCGGAACGGTTTCAGAGCATCAAAATAACGTACGCAATGATGAGAAGAGTGCGGCCGTGACCGAGATTGCCGAGCTTGTCCTGAATTTCTTGCTCTGTGTGGGCATCAAGTGCCGATGTGGCTTCATCGAGCATGATGATCTTGGGATTCTTCAAGATGGTGCGCGCGATGGCCACACGCTGTCGCTCGCCTCCACTCAATCGCAGTCCTCGGTCGCCAACCTTTGTGTTGTAGCCGTCAGGGAAAGACTGGATCCGGTCATGAATACTTGCTGCGCGGCAAGCCTCGTACACATCTTCCTCAGTGACGCTCGGGTTGGCATACTTGAGATTGTACATCAAACTCTCGTTGAACAGGGTCGTGTCCTGTGGCACCACGCCTATGTAGCGCCGCACGGAGTCGATCGTCAAATCTTTCACATCCTGTCCGTCAATCTCAATGCTACCGCTTGTCGTGTTGTAATAGCGGAACATTAACCGAAACACGGTCGACTTGCCGCCTCCGGATTCGCCAACAAACGCAGTTGTCGTCCCTGGCGTGCACTCAAAATCGAGTTCCTTGAGAGCAGGCTGGCGTGGGTCGTAGGCGAACGCAACATTGTTCCAACGGATGTGCCCTTGACACTCGGTCAATGGCTTCGCTGTATCGGAGTCCACAACGGTGGGCTCGATCTTGAACAGTTCCAGCAGCCTCTCGCCCGAGATCATTGCCTGTTGAATGGTACGGTAGAAGCTGCTGAAGAAGTTGAGAGGGCCCTGGAGCTGATTGAGGTAAGTGAGAAGCATGACGAAGTCGCCGACAGTTCGGTGTTCGTTTGTGACTTGATAGGAGCCAAAAAGCAGAACAACAGTCATGCCAGCCATGAAGACGAGCGCCTGGATGACGTTCATCTTGTTCATGCCCCATGTGACCTGCGCCTCAGCCTCCTGGAAGACCCGAATGGCGTTGCGATAACGCCTGAACTCCCAGTCCTCGGCGTTGAAGTACTTGACCGTCTCATAGCTTGTGATCGAGTCATTCTTCACGGCCTCCTCCTCCCGGTCGGCGTTCGTCATGGCCCTGCGTTGATCGGCACGGGTTTGCGCCATGCGTATGGTGAGATACAGGTACCAGAAGGAGATGCAGCTGACGATAACCGCGTACGTTGCGTCGAATCGGACATAAAAGAAGAAGACGGCCACCCCCAAATCAATGAGCATGGGCAAAACTTGAAACGTAACTTGCTCGAGGAATTGGTTGATCGAGGCACCTTTGTTGAGTGCCGACAGCACCTCGCCGGTGCGCTTGCCAAGGTGGAAGTCCAGACTCAGCGAATGAACGTGCTCGAACGCCGAGGTCGTCAAAGCTCGATACGAGTACTGGGAGATGGGTACCCAGAGTATGGACCGCACGGCGCCCAGGAGCATCGAAGGTCCTTGTAGTAGCTTGTAAATGATAAACAAGATCAGCGCTTTCCATGGGTCCTCGCCCTTGGAGAGGGCATCGGTGAGATGTCCGATCTGGAGCGGCACCAGGAGGTTCACCCAGCGCTGCGCGAGCAGCAGAAGAGTGCAGATAGCGAAGATGAGCTGCAGCCGCCACGAGTCTCGGGGCCAGAGGTAAGGGAAGAATACGCCATAGCCCCTTAGATACTCCCACCACGTCTTGTGAGGCATCTTCTCGGGTCGGTAGAACGCGGCTGACTCGTCCTTGACTAGGCTGATGGCCCCGACGACACCGTTGGTGCTGGCCGTAGCACTACCATTCCGGCCACGGATGCTCCGGCCGTTAGCCTCGCGTGTATGAACCTCGCGGCCGTTCTGGGTGCGGTAGGTCGTCCGCGTACCGTTGAGAAGCGGTGTGACTTCTTCCGCGCCCAACCGTTCCGCATCCCGATCATATTTGTCCCTGTTGTTCCAGGCTTTGCGGATCCATAACGCGGTGTATGTGCTTACGAGGCAGAAGGCAAGAACGAGTCGCACGATGGCCAGGACGATGTCGATCAGATCCCACTTGTCCGACTTGCTGTCGAAGTTGTCGAGAGGTCGTAACGCAGCGGTGCCGTGGGTGTCGCGGCGCTTTTCGAATATGGCGAGAGCGCAGGTTGTGATGGTCAGCTCGCCAGCAAAGGCAAGCGTCCAGGTAATGAAGTGTACAAGTGACGGGCTGTGGTGCCATTCGAGGATCGTGACAAAAAGGTATAGATAGAAATTGGTCGCGCCGATCAGGAACACCTGTGGAGAAGACTTGTCAGCTTGTGCACCAGAGCTGGTGAGGTGAGCCGGGGGCAACAAGCCAGAGGCACCTACGCTCATTTCTTCCGTCTCGCGCCAGACAACTTGGCCGTCTCGTTGTGCCGGCCAGACCTCGACTACGTGGACGAAGTGTGCGATGCCATTGGCGAAAAAGACGAGAAACATGGCCAGAGACAGCCATGCGAAGACCTTTTTGAAGGCAGGAGACGGGTCGGGACCCCAATGGTTACTGTTGCCATCACTGTTTCTTTTCCTCTTCTTCGTGGCGGGGAGAGGTTTGCCACCTGGACCGCGGACGCCTGGCTCAACAATTTCGTCCTCTCTTTTGGCAGTCAATATGCTGTAGGCGACGCCGGAGATGAAGAAGACGATCAAGAGGGTTCCCGGATACCAGATGAGGATGTCGCGGAGTATAGACGCGGCCGTCGATGTGTCGGTTGTTGTCGCGGGGTCCGAAACCGGGTCAACAGGTGTGCGAACCTGCTCTGGGGACGCCATAGTAGTCTGTGGTGGGGGAAGAGTTGAGGTGTCAGAAAAAAGTATGTACCACAGCGTCGAAACGACTACTCGTTCCATGCAGGAACCAGCAGCGAGTAGGAGTAAGCGAGAAGAAAAAAAAAGGTACCGGCAGCCAGAACAGGAGCAGACGAAACGGCGAGAGAGCGCCCGTCCTCGTCACTCGCACGAAGCACTTGGCTGCACGAAAACGTAGGAGGCGGAGTGG